CTTCCTTCCTTCCTTCCTTCCTTCCTTCCTTCCTTCCTTCCTTCCTCTCTCTTTTCCTCCCTCCCTCCTTTCCTCTCTTCCCCCCCACTCTTATAATTGCTTAAATATTATCCAGTTTGTCAACATCGTCTGTTCCCCTAATTACATAAGCCAAGAGCTACGATCATTGGTAGAAAATGTTTACAGGTGAGTTGACAAAAAAGATTCCACTTTGAACTTTGGGATGTTGATGGCTTTGCTGCACATGTAATCAAAGGTCAGGGTTTTGTCCAGTTCTTGTTTATCTTCTGGCTAGCAGTTGGATTGCTTTGCTGAAGGGGACTGAAAAATATCAAAAGATAAACTTTCATTCTAATGTATCTTAAAGAGAGCAGTTTGGTGGAATATTTGGATCAATTCCCCCGATGCTGGGATGGAAATGTTAATTTTCTTGATCCATATTGATCCCCCCAGCTAGAAAGAAAGAACAATGGAATCTTCCAGAGCAGGGATGTCAAACTCATGATGACCTCTTGTTGTCACATGACATATCACAATCCCCCCCTTTCCTAAACCGGGGATGGGGGTGGCCAGCATGTGACGCACACGAGTTTGACACCCCTGTTTCAGAGGATCTCACTGTTCCAGTTTAAGACTAAAAGATCTCGCCTTTGTTTCAGAATAGTTTTAGATACAGATTAACAGACTTGGAAGGGACTTTGTAGGTCATCTAGTCCAACCCCCCACCCAAGCAAGCAACCCTACACCGTTTCTGACAAATGGCAAGTCCAGCTTCTTCTTGAAAGCCTCTAGTGATGAAGCTCCCACAACCTCTGAAGGCAACTTCTGTTCCATGGGTCGATTGCTCTCACTGTCAGGAAATTTCTCCTTATTTCTAGGTTGAATCTCTCCTTTCAACCACTCGGACCAGCCGCAAGTGCTCAAGAAGTTGCTTGAGAGGGGTGATTGTGTGTGTTTTAAGACAAATTTCCAGCAGATCCATTCAGGAGCACCCAAATATTTTGAAATGACGTTTCTCCAGTTATGGCTCCAGTGCCGTTCACACAAAGATCTTTTGAAAGAGCTTGCAGTCTCTGATGGCAGAAGGACTAGAGGTGGGATTCAGCAGGTTGCGACCAGTTCTGGAGAACCAGTAATGGAAATTTTGAGTAGTTCGGAGAACTGGTAAATACTACCTCTGGCTGGCCCTGCCCCCATCTTTGCTCTGCCTCCCAGCTGATTGAGAGGAAATGGGGATTTTGCAGTAACCTTCCCTTGGAGTGTGGAGGAAATGGAGATTTTACATTATCCTTCCCGATATACCCACCAAGCCACGCCCACCAAGCCATGCCACACCCACAAAGCCATGCCATGTCCACAAAGCCACGCCCACCGAACCGATAGTAAAGAAATTGAATCCCACCACTGAGAAGGACAACCATCCGCTTTCAGTCCTGGAAATACCATGTCTTTATCTGGAAAATTGAGTACATTTTCAAACAATTTTTTTTTAAAAAAAGAGTAATAATAAGTTATTAAACCTTGATTCCTTGATGGCCAGTTGTTTTTTGCTTTAATGGTAGTTCATTGGTAGTTTTCTCCTCTGGTGGTTTGGTGTTTATTTCCATGGCTGATTTGTTCGTGGGGGCAGTATCCATCTGTTTCATGATTAGGTATCTTGGATGGAAGATAGAAATAAAATTCTCAGGTTATTGTTTTATAAGACAAATGTATATGGAGATTCTCAGTGATCCCGAACGTAGCTGTTTTGTAAGACATTTCCCATGTATTTTTACTACTCCACATTCAACTGTTCCCCCTAACCCTAACCCTACCCTAACCCTAACCCTAACCCTAACCCTAACCCTAACCCTAACCCTAACCCTAACCCTAACCCTAACCCATACTACATAATCAGAGATTGATTTGAACCTTTTAGTTCTGACAACATGATAGATGCAGGGAGAACATTATGCTTATACCCCCCAAAATGCCAATTTTTGTGGCCATTTTAGGGATACGGTGGATAAGGGAGATGGTGGCTCAGTAGCTAAGACGCTGATCTTGTAGATCAGAAAGGTCAGCAATTCAGCGGTTCAAATCCCTAGCACTACATAACAGAGTGAGCTCCCGTTACTTGCCCCAGCTTCTGCCATCCTAGCAGTTCAAAAATACGTAGAAAATGCATGTAGAAAAATAGGGACCACCTTGGTGGGAAGGTAACAGTGTTATGTGCACCTTCAGCATTTAGTCATGCCGGCCACATGAGCACGGAGACGTCTTCGGACAGCGCTGGCTCTTCGGTTTTGAAACGGAGATAGAATCGGGAACAACTAGCACCGTGATGATGAACCTTTGGCACCATAAGGAGCCATTTGTCAGGGCACACAAGGTGTTGCCCTGGCAGGCGTGCATGTCATTTTCTTTGACCTCCGGAACCTTTAGGGAAGCCTCCGGAAGGCCCCTGAAGGCTCCAGAGGACAAAAAGCGGTCCTAGGGACAAAGTGGAAGACACTTCTGGTTTGCTCGTAGGATCATTTTCTGCCCTGTGGAGGCTTCAGGGAAGCCTCCTGAAGGCCCCTGAAGGCTCCATAGGGCTAAAACCGGCCCTATGAGCAAACTGGAAGTCCGTTCCTGAATTTCCGGTTTGCCTGTAGGGCTGGTTTTTCATGCTCCAGAGACTTCAGGGGAGCTCCTGAAGCCTACAGAGGCCCTCTAGATGATCAGCAGATGGCAGCAAAGAAACATGTAAAATCTCCACCTTTTTCAGACCATCTAAAGCAGGGGGTCTCCAACCTTGCAACTTTAAGCCTGGAGGACTTCAACTCCCAGAATTCCCCAGCCATCTTGCTGGGAGTTGAAGTCCGCCAGACTTAAAGTTGCCAAGTTTGGAGACCCCTGATCTAGAGCAGAGGTGGGGAATTATGCCCCCTTTACAACTTGTGGACTTCAACTTCCAGAATTCCCGAGCCAGCCATGATGGCTTGGGGGGGGGATTCTGGGAATTGAAGTCCACACGTCTTAAAGTTGCCAAGTTTGGAGAGCCCTGCTAAAGAGAATCAGCCAATGCACCATGTGGCCTACCTATACAGAAGCCAATTCATGCTAGCCCAGAAACGGACACCATTTTGGGACCGGGTGCAATGCTTAGCTTGTGAGAACTGTGGCTGCTTCCAAAATGGCGCCCACTTCTGGGAGGGCACAAGATGGCTTCTGTATAGCAAGGCTGAAAAGGCATATTGGCTGATTCTCTTTCAGAAAGACAATCTTTGACTTAGAATTAGACTTAGAATAACTATTGTCACATTGAATGTACACCAATCGGCATACATTAAAATGAAATTTCGTTGCATACAGTTCTCAAAGGGTATCCACCTCCAATATACCGTAGCATGACAAAACCTCGCTCGTCAAAATCGCGGTGATAAAATTGTGGCGCTAAAGCCGCAACGTCATCACCGCCGCGACAACAGCGCGGCAACAGAAGGGCGCTTTAAAACGGCGCCGTGGCAGAAAGCTGATTTCAATT